TCATTTTTGCAATTATTTATGAAAATTATGGCTAAATTAATTTAAAAAATTTCAATAAGAATGCAAATTGAGTGAAGCTTCGTTATAAAATGTTTTAGTTTATTTTTATATTATTTCCAAAATATCCAAATACCCATGTATTTATTCTATATTTTTTTAATTCATAATTTTTTTTACTAAATTTGTCCACAATTTCATTAGATACGAAATTTTGTTGGCAAAAATTGCAGTTTGCAAACAAAAACTTTGGCAAAAAAACGACAGAGAATTTTAATTTTTTGTCGCTTTTTGGTAAATTCTTCTGTAAATATATATGCTTATCATTGTTATATACGTGTTACGTACGCAAAATTATAATTTTGAATCTTAGTGTAAGGTATATTCGCAGAGTATGTATGTGAGAAATTGCTTGTTTAAATACAGATAAGTTATTGGCTTGTATGTGAAATTTCATCAGAAACACGTGAATTAGCATTGTTTGTTGTTTATTGCATATTAATAACACTACCGGTTTGACCCGAACCGCCGGTTCGGTCACGGTTTGGTCCGGTTCCGGTTCGGTTCCAGCTAAAAAAAGTTCGGTTCTGTTTCGGTTCTTCAATTCTGGTTCTCGGTTCCAAACCGGTTCTTCCAAGAACCGAACCGAACCGCACCGTTGAGACCACTACATATCGCTTATCGAGCTGATTGATAAGCTGAAATAATTACCATAAATTTACATACATTTAGAAATTTCGTGGAGAAGCTATTATAAAACGCAGAAACTGTAAAATCATAAAGTTTACGTGATAATTATTTTGAAGATGAAATTCCTCTTTTGTCGTTAAAACGGTTTAAGATAAGTTTATTAATTTAGATATTTCCGCACTGAAATTCGTGCCGCTTATCGTCATCAAGATAAGCTGAAATAATTAACATTTTATACATACACTTACAATCAAACCATTTTTCAAGCTACAAATGGATTATGTAACGAGTTATATCAAAAAATCAAGTCAAAAATTAGGAATCACGTGGCACTTATCATTCCGTTGAATGGCCCACCACTCACCACTCGTGCGTCACGACTCATTATGTCGATTTGAGTCAGAAATTCGAGCTCTCTGCCTATCCGAAACACATAATCCGCTGTAAAATTTCACAAAAAATTACTGTTTTCGCTCAATTTTGAAAATATTTTGATGTTCAATATATCAAATTGTTCGCAAGATAATTATCTATCATTCCTCTAGAGGAATGTTTGAAATTTTGTTTCCTATAATTTCCAACTCAATTTTAAACTTTACATTGGTGCAGAAATTATTAGAAACAAAATTTCAAATATTCCTCTAGAGGAATTATAGATAATTATCTTGTGAACAATTTGAGATATTGAACATCAAACTATTTTCAAAATTGAGCAAAAAAAGTAATTTTTTGTGAAATTTCACAGCAAAGTTATTTAACATGTGTTAGGATAGGCAGAGAGAGTTGACTCAACTCGTCAGGAGAAGTCGCGAGTGGTGGTGGTCATTTACGCTTAACACATGGGGCGAAAGAAGAATGAAGCCAAATGAAGTGAAATGAAATGAGTTTGAAAGAAGATGATTGAATGTGAATGAAAATCTTCAGTCAGAAATTGGGAAGACTGAACTTAGAATGAAAACAGCTTTTTTGAACAGGTATGCACAAAGGTGAGACAATTAGGAAAGAAAATCAGAAAATTAATTACTTTACCGAGATTAGTATATAAATTTTGTGAAAGTTTGTAGCTAACCTTATGCCTTATAAAATTTGCACAGTTTAGCTTGGTCGCAAATATTTGAGCCGCGTACTTTCTCTGTTTCGTAAATTTATAGAAAAAGTTGTACGCCATTTTGCACTTTGGCGTTTAATTTATGTCCTATTTTATACGTTTTAGATGCGATGCCATTTGGGGGGAGTTCTTATTGAGATTGAGTAAATTTACGAACAAATTTTTCGAACTTATAATGGTGTGAAGTGTAACCCTCCGATTTGGTTGAAATTTTAAAATAATTTGGTCCAAGCCAATACAACGATACCTGTTCAAAAATTTAGCTTTCATTCAAAAGTCAGTCATCCCAATTTCTGACTGAAGATTTTCATTCACACTCAATCATTTTCATTCAAATTCATTTCACATCATCGGTCTTCGTTTCTTACTTCGCTTCATGTATTAAGCACTAGCGTATAGCCCGGCCAAGGCCGGGTTCTAGAGTTCCAGTGGGGGGTGTGCCCAAAGCGAAAAATCCGTCATACTATATTTTAAATAATTCCCAGTGGAGACTTTGTCATACTACATACATACATCAGACTGAGGGTTTGCCCAAGTCATACTGCATTTTAATTAACCTGGTCACAGTAAAATTTGATTCCCCCCTGTGGGAGTAGTTGAATAGCTAATTACTTAAATTCCCGTCGCGTGGGAGTAACTGCATAGCTAACTATTTAAATTCCCACGCTTCACGCTCCCGTTAAGTTCCATAAACCCCGTTAACTTCTACAATTAACGCCAAGCTATTGACGGATTCGGATTCAGCGTCAAAAATACATTCGAATTGATATGCGACATCACGAATAAGCCAGATTTGGACACCACGGTCACGGCGAGGTCACGGGGGCTTCGCAGGTCAAAATCATTGACGGCGTTGGATTCAGCGTCAAAAATACATTCGAATTGACATGCCACTCGCTGTGGGTAGAGTTTCTCAAACTAAAATAATTAATTAATAGTGTTTATCACGATCACTTATCATGATAACCACTATTGATGAGTGATGTATGTATGTGGGGTGTACATGTTCATGTATTCATTTATTCATGCAGTGCAGTGCATGCATGCAGTGGTTGCTCCGCTTCCTTCTTTGTCTACTGTATGGGGCAATTTGCATTGCGAAGACGGACCCAGGGACCCAGGGATCATACTAACACTTTATTAGAGTAGATAGGGTGAAAAATAAGAGGAGTGAGAAATTCTTTCATTCACAGTTATTCATCTGAAATGTGAGAGTCTTTCATTGATTTTCATTCAAATCACAGGAAATTCATTTTTATTCACCATCACTCACAAGGGACACTCACGACCTGTCGTCTGAGTCCAGGGTACCCACTATGTTTTTTAGAATCTACTAGGACCCCAGATGAAGGGTTCATTCATATTTCCGTGTAAAACTCATATTTGGCGCCGTGCCGTGGCGCCAAATTCGCCAAATTTGATGGTTTTACATTTTAAAACCGCCATAACTTTTGAAATCCTGGACGGATTTTCAAAATTTTTGGCAAAAATCATGACAAGGAGTTCAACTTTCGTATTCTATGAAATTTTTTCCAAAATTATCGCTTTTAACTTTTCGCAAAATTTCAAAATTTTGGGTTCGTCGAAAAAATGCTAAAAATATCTCAAAAATTAAAAATTTTTTATTTTTATTTTTTTCTCTAAAATTTCGACTTTTGTGATCATTTTAAGCATACAATTTTAAAAATCCGACATAAACTGCAAAAGTTATGAGGGTTTGAAATTGGTCGAAAATGCAAATTTTTAAGTTTGGCGCCACGCCATAACGCCAAATATGAGTTTTACACGGAAATATGAATGAATCCTTCATGTGGGGTCCTAGTAGATTCTAAAAAACATAGTGGGTACCCTGGACTCAAACGACAGGTCGTGAGTGTCCCTTGTCAGCATCATAATCAATCAAATGAATGAAAGTGAACAGGTACTAGATGGCGCATATTTCGTGCATATTTCTCCAGTTTCTTGCACCTCGCATTTCTTGCGCTTTTTCTCTTGCACTGCAAGAAATGTTGCAAACCCGCAAAAAAACAATCACGGAATTTTGCATAAATTTTTTTACGCTGAAATAAATTGCAGTCCTAATTTTCATAAGAGTGATAAACACTTCAAAAAAGACAATGAAAATGCTGCTATTTTCTAGCCAAAATTTTTATTTGCACTGAAATTCAACGATAAAATTTTCTATTCTATAAAATTGTCAACAGATTCAATAAATTTGTTGATTACAAAATGTAAACCAAGTATTTTGCATATTTTTGAAATATTGTATAGTTTTCAAAAATAAAGGAAGGAAAACATTTTTTAGCGGAGCTTATTTGCGAGCCATTTTGCACGCTAATTTGAAATTTTTGAATTTATTTAGGAACATTTTCACAAATTTTTATCCGTCATAAAATTTTTGTACATTGTCCAGGTAGCAGCTTATTATCTTTAGTATCTAAAAATGTATTTAAAAATCTGAAAATCAACTTTTGACGTTTAAATCTAAACTTTAAAAAAAATCAAAATTTACATACCACTGATAAGAATATTCATATTAAGAAAAAAATTATCAAAAAACGACATATACGAATATAAATTGTCCGTGATTTATCATTCAATTAAAAAAACACAAAATTCCCTAAAACATAAAAAGGTTGACGATTTTAACCTCAAAAGTTTTATTTTTAGATTTTTCAGGATTAAATTTGACTAAAGATGCATGGCTCACATAAATTCTTAAATTTTAAATTTTTGAAACAATGTTTCACAAATTTCAAATCATAAATTCACAAAAAAAAATAATTTAAAAAATAACTAAAAATTTGCATATCACTGATAAGCATTAAATTTTGCACGCTAATTTGAAATTTGTGGATTTATTTAGCTACATTTCACAACTTTTCGTCTAATAAATTTTTTGTAATAAATTATTCAAGGAGAAGCATGTCATCTTTGGTATATAGATTTATTTGAAAAAATCTAAACATCAAACTTTTGACGTTGAAATCTAAAATTGTAAAAAAATAAAAATTTGCATACCGCTGACAATAATATTTATATTAAGAAAAAAATTATCAAAAAAAAACGACATGAAAACAAAAATTCTTTGTAATTTTTCGCTCAATTAACAAAAACAAAACATCACTAAAAACACAAATAGGTTGACGATTTTAACGTCAAAACTTTTATTTTTAGATTTTTCAGTAATAAAATTCCACTATAGATGAACTTGTATGTTCACATAATTTTTTAAATTTTAAAAATGTATAAAATTTTCGATAGAAATTCACAAAACATTAATTTAGAAAAATGGACCAAGATTTACATATTTTTGAAATAATACATACGTAGCTGAAATATATAAAAATGTATGCAAGAAGTAATATTTTTAGGAAAATTAGGAAATACAGAAAAACATTGACAAATTTTTAGAAATTTTGACCCTCTGTTTTGAAACATATCAACAAACTCTGAAACCTGTGGCTTATCAAAGTTCGAAAACAACAAAATATTTATTTATGCTTATCATTCCTAGCTTATCAATTTGATGGTTGATATTTATGAAAACTTGGAAATGTATACAGAACAACGTTGATAAATCCTTATAAAGTTTCTGTTTATGAACTTTTACAAAGTTTGAAACTCATAATAGCTTATCAAAATTCGAAAATGATTCAATATTTATTTAAGCTTATCAATCCTAGCTTATCAATTTGACGGGATAACCTCCCACAATTGCTGCATTGTGAAGCCATCCTTCGGTTTCTCGACGGCAAGTCCGAGCTCTTCGCAGAAAATGATTTCCACCTTTTTTTCGCGATCGGCCGCATTTTCGTGTCGATATCCGTCCGCGAAGTAGGCGGCGAAGGCGTCACTGACCAATTCCGGGTTGTCCTCGATCTCCTCGACTTCGTCAGCAAAAGTGACGACGCCCTTGGCCAGGCGCGTCTTCCGCTCTTCTGATTCCGCCTCGATGGACTAATTAATAAGGAAATATGTGAAAAAATTAGTGTTTTGGGTGCAGGAAATGACGACAAGAAATTGGTTTTTACAGGTATTTTGGCCTGCAAGAAATGCAAAAAGCTACGCCCCACTGTCGGAAATATTTTATAAGTGCGTGGCTAGATGGCGGATATTTCTTGCAGGTGCAGTTTCTTGCACTTTCTTGCAGTTTCTTGCAGTTTCTTACCTTGAACTGCAAGAAATGTAGCAAACCCTTAAGAAACTAAACATTGCCAAGTAATCACTTGCAAGAAATAACGCTAAGAAAGTGTTATTTTTTTTGCAGCTACATATTTTGACCAGCAAGCGATACAAGGCCCAAGAAACTCATTCCCGCCGCTATTCCTGCATAAGGGGATTGGCTAGATGGCGCATATTTCGTGCACTTTCTCCCAGTTACGTGCACCTCGCATTTCTTTCATGGCTTGCTTTTCAGTGCATGAAATGTGACAAACCACCAGCAAGAAACGAAACACTGATAAATTGCAACATTTTTTCAAAAAGTTTGCAATTTGCAAAATTTTAATATTTTTGCAAATTGCAAAGCTTATTTTACACCTTATTTAGAGGTTATTTTATCTTCTATGAAATTTTATATTTTAAAATACTACAAAATAAAACTTTCGACGTGATATAACTTCATTTAAATTTGGCATTTAAACAATTAAGAACAATTCCATAATTTACGGGTGTGTCTAGCACTAGTACTGAAAGATTCGTTTTCGAAAATTTTTCAAAATTTTGAATATATTTTAATTATTTACATACGTCTGGATTGAACTCGACGCCATACTCGGGATAAGTCATGTACGTTTCGTGAATGGACATTAGCGATTTGTAGACGCTGAGCAGCTTTTCTTTCGGGTCGATCCGAAAACCGAGGACGTAGCTGCCCCCGGATTCCGTCGTGTCGATGACTAACGCCTTTCCGAATTTGGAGTCTCTTATTTTTATCTGGAAATTTTAAACAATTTTGTAACATTTTTTGGAAACTTATTTTGAATTTTTGTTTATTTACTTCAGCAATTTGTAGGAATGGAATTGAAGCGTTGAACAATTCGTTGGACGCTGCGTACCAGACGACGCGGACATTTGTGATGAAAAAGGAGCCCAAATTTCCCTGAAAAATTAGCATTTTTATAAAAATCAGAGGGCGGATATGTATTTATTTTCAAGTTTTTTTTTATGATGACGACAGACAGTCAAAGTTTGTGGGTGTATTCACTAATTCGCTCAGAGCACATAGATTTCAAAATATTTTTACATATTGGAACTTATTTCTAGACTTTCAGAAATATTTATAAATATTATTATCAAATTACGTAAATATTTTACACACGTTTTTCAAAAATACATATTTTGAAAATATTTCACCGGTGTGACACGGACTTTTTTTGCTTAGAGAATTTTTACCAGAAAAAATCATCTTCTTAAAGAAAAGATTTTTCTTAAAGAATTGCACCAAAAAAATCCAGAGCATTATACTCAAAAATATAAATTTTTCTAAAATATATCAGATTCAGTCCAAATTTTACTGATTTCTGAAAATGAACGCAAAAATAATAATTTTCAAACTGCATCGCTGATCATCTAATTTACAATCAATTAATTACTTATTTTCTTCAAAACATTTATTTCGACTTCGAAACTTTACATCTGAATTCAAATGATTTAGAAAAAAATGAACTTTTACATAAACTTACAAAATGATTTAGTCATTTAAAAAAATATATATTTCCGCTATGATTTGAAAAATACGAAAAAATATATTTTGGAAATATTTGAACGATGTGAGACCAAATGTTTTTTTTGCTGAAAGAACTTTGCCCACAAAAAATTCCAGAAAATTAATTTAAAAGGTTCAAATTTTTCTAAAATTCCAATTTTTCTAGTGTCATTTGTGCATATTTCGTAAATGTGAAGTACATATTTTTCGTAAATTCTTATCCGCCCTCTGATGACGAATAACCATCATTTGTTGAAAATTTGGTGTGCAAAAAATTTACCTGATCACTGCTCAAATTCCAGACGCCATTAACTTGTTCACAAATCTGTTCTTTTTGCAACATTTGCAACTTTTTATTGGCAACTACGATGCCACTTCGCATCTTGATTTCGCGATAAAGCCGGGATTGTGTATACGCTCTGTAAAATGTGGTGTGTAAAAAATTTGCAAATTTTTTTTGCAAAATTATTTATTACATACTTTTGGACGGCGAGGACCACAGAGAAAAGTCGGTTGTTATCAATGACCAGATTCGTAAAGATAAATTCGTACCGGGACGCTTTAGTTTTCGCGAGAATGTGCAGTGATTCCGTTAATCCGCGAAGTTTCTGGGAAAATAAAAGTAAAAATTTGGGATCTCAAAATTTTGAAATTTTTTAATTGTACGAAAAATGTAGCACCATACCGAAGTCACGGATTTGATATTTATCGAAGTTATAGGATTGTAACCGATTGCTGAAAAAATAAATAAAAATCATTGATACCTAATTAACGTAAATTTTAATTGGGAATTTATTTATGTTAGTAGTGAATTTACATAGATTGATTTTGGGGAATTTTTTAGACTGCCAAATGAGTCGTAAATTGGTGACGACGAGTTTTCCAGGTTCGCCATTGTTGCCTTTCGTGTCCTCGACGGGGTCCAAGACTTCAAACGTTTTCTCGCCAGTGCACAGTTTTAAATATCTGAAGGAGGATAAGTAAGGGTCAAAAGGTCATATTTAAGTTAAAAAAATGAAGTATTTTATTTATTTACCTGGTCATGAGGTCGAACCGAATTTCGGTGTCGTACCAGGTCGGAATATGGTTCTCCAGAGGCATGATTTTAATTTCGAAAAAATGTATGGGTGAATCAATAATTTTCAAAAATTTGTATTTGTATATAACTTGAAATCGTGTTTACTAGAAAGTAAGTAGGTAAATGACAAGTCGGGGTTTTGTTGTGCATTTTACGAGCCTGGCAACTCGGAGAGTGCCCGATATAAAAAAACGGGTAACACATATATGAAACCGGGTATTTTCATGCACTTATTGTTTGTTTGTGTCCAATATGTACCTGGCAATCGAGAGCTACTTTGTATGCTTATGTATTTTGTATTAAAGTTAACTAACTAATTACTGCCAATTAAGTAGTTAATTAATTTCATAATTAAGTATTGCTAATTAAAAATACCCTCTTTGCAGAATAATCTACGACTCAAATATGTAAATGCATATCATTATTACTCATTTTACGGAAGATGTGGAATTAAGATGCTGAATAATTAGTCTAATTAATTAATCTAATATTATAATTAATTATAATTATAATTAGTTAAATGCCGGCTCGAATTTAATGTAGGAAAAAATTTGGTCGCGCAAACTACTTAAGTTTTGTAAATGCATTTAAGTTTTGTAAATGCATTTAAGTTTTGTAAATGCATTTAAGTTTTGTATTTTACAGAATATGCACAATTAAAACGTCGGTAAATGAATTTGTTACTTATCGTTGATTATCACTGAATAATAAATTTAGGTTAATAAAAAACTTCGCCCGAAATCATACCTGTTCAAAAAAGTTTTTTTCATTCAAAGTTCAGTCATCCCGATTTTTGACGGAAGATTTTCATTCACATTCACTCATTTTTGTTCAAATTCATTTCATTTCATTTAACTTCATCTGCCTTCATTTCTTACTTCGCCTCATGTATTAAGCATAGGGTGAAAAATGAATGAGTGAAAAATCCTTCATTCACAGTCATTCATCTGAGATGACGGCATCTTTCACTCATTTTCGTTCAAATCATAGGAAATTTATTTTCATTCACCGCATCATAACCAGTCACATGAATGAAAGTGAACAGGTATGCTTGAAAAGTAATACTTCAGTTAATTAAAATTAAAATTAGTTAATTGAATTTATTTATAATTGGTCCAATTTATTGTAAAAGTATGTACATAAATAAATATTATGCAAATACGTTTCGTAATTATTTAATTTATTTTACAGAATATGCGTAATTAAGACGTCGATCAATGAATTTGTTGCTGTCAGTAACTTTCTAACAGTAAAATTAGATACAATGCAAAACTCACCAAATGGGTAGTTAGTAGTATAATATTATAATTACTATCCCCGTACTTAGGCTTTGCACCTCATTTGCATAAATCTCAATAGCCCATTTTGGGCGATACGAGCTTTCCATGTTGAATAAACTCTATGGCTCTCGCGAATGCGTTAAAATATGCAAATGAGGTGCAAGGGCTGAGTGCGAGGATAGTAAATACAATTACAATTAGTTAAATGCCGGCTCCAATTTAGCGTAGAAATAATGTGCAAATTAATAGTTTAGGAAATTTGCACATGCATTATTCGGTATTTTTTTTTTATTTTCAGGAGATGCAATTAAGACGTCGATCTATGAATTGCTCACTTGTAGCTAATTATTAAGACTAAATTAAGATGTTGAGTTACTCTTTTTTCAATGTGAAACTTAATATTATAATCAATGGTAATTAAAACCTGTTAAATAACTGGTCTGATTTAATGTTAAAAACTTAGAATTGGAGTCGAGATCATTATCCGTCTCACTAAAATTGCTTTTAAGCATGGCGACAGCTTCGCATATTGAGTCGTCATCGTGTTTAAAGTTTGAGTTCGGGTACAGTCTGTGCATCCTAGTGAGCGAGTTGACTTTCCTGCTCGCCACTTACCAGTAATGTAAATGATTGTTGTCACTAAAACTTCTAATTTGCAGCTAATACAAAATGGATTGATTTCGTTTTGGTGGTAATAAATTCCTGAGTTTGTGCTTTACAATTTCCATTGGGCAAAAATTCCATAATAAATCTCAAAGAAAAGTATTGGACTGAAACATGTAAGTTATCATGTTTTTAGTCCAATACTTTTCGTTGAGATTTATTATGGAATTTTTGCCCAATGGAAATTGTAAAGCACAAACTCAGGAATTTATTGCCACCAAAACGAAATCAATCCATTTTGTATTAGCTGCAAATTAGAAGTTTTAGTCGGGATTGTTCTCCCTATCTGGTTCGCGATGCCCCGTTTGGAGTTTGGGAACGGTCACTCTCAAAATCCAAAGCAACTTTTTACATGCAACTGCCTGCCTTGTTTACATGAAAATCAGCTGCTCTCTTCGCCCCGCCCCCCTCCATAGAAAAAAATCTCTCGGTACACAAGGAGACGCAACCGTCGTCTCTGTCTTTTAGTTATGAGATTTTTTCAACGTATATGCATCCTTAAAGCTGTTAAGGAGGGATAAGAGCTAGGTTTAGATTTCAATAATATTAAACATTTTCACTTGTCACTTGGCGTTCAACTCATACAATTTTCATTTTATTTTAAAATTAATTTTTCGAAACTGTAAATGGAATTTGTTATCAAATGAGGTATCGTTGGAAAGGTCTCGACAAGAGGATTCCGAATATATATACTTTTCGGCTGTATGACCACTCCCTGAATTTGCAGAGCGACAAGAATATTTATCGTGTTTTCGCCCATCTATTGCATGTTAACTCCCCAATCTACTGATGTGTTAAATTGTGGAGAATTGAAGATTTTCATTCTTCTGCTTCTGGAACATGAGGGAGTGGTCATACACCCAATAAAGTATATATATTCAGAATCCACGCACCGAGACCTTTCCAATGATACCCCATTTGTGGGGATCGGTGACCTTTGACCTACCAACCTTTCGACGCCGAAACAAGGTCACGCAGGTCGATTTCGACTATAAGTGCAATTTGACTATTGTTCTACTACTAAAGATCTACAACATATAAAAATTGGGGAAACTGGAGCTGAGGGTCATGCTTTCAGCGCCATTTCTAAAAAACAATTTTTGAAAACATTTGGGCATCCTCATTTTTGCATAAATATCGGATTTTTTTGTTGCAAAATGTGTCAAAATGTTCAACTCTCATAATTACTGGCGTTTGACCTTAAAGTCGCTTTCATGGTCACACCATAATTCTTTTCACGAAAAAAAATCAGAAAAAGTCGCATTTTTCCATGTATACTTCACGTATCCTTTAAAACTTCTGTAACTTTGTGGGGACTAAATATACGCGTCGATTGGTGCAAAAAAATCGAAATTTTATTGTCTTTTGACGACGCTGAAAGTTTTTAAAACGATAACATGGGAGCTTATGGGAGGACATAGTTACATACTCCCCGTCAGGTAGCGGTGAGACTGTATCAGATCACCCCTTAAATGACCACGATTTGAGGTCAGTGGGGTGTTGTACTTCGGGAAAATGCGTCGAATTATTGGGCACTCGTCCAAAATATGGAAATTTGTGAAAGTTTTCCTCAAAAATAAACATTCTCCTGCATAGTTTACTTATTGTAATTAAAAGTTATTCGTAAAATTATGTGCATACGTATGTAGGAAATGCTAATTAATTATTTTCTTAATTATAAACAATGTCCTCCGTGCAAACTAATAATCTACCAAGTTAATAAATATATTTATTCATAAATGCATTTCGTAATTTACTATTTATTTATTTATTTACAGAAGATGCAAAATCTCCAATTTAAATTTGAATTATCCATCTTAATTTGCAAAATAATTAATTAAAGTTAAAATTATGAAATTGGTTCCAATTTAATGTTACACTGTGCACTATAGTCGAGATCATTATTTGTGTCACTAAAATTGATTTTAAGCATGGCGATGGCTTCGAATACGGTGTCGTCGTCGTCTTTAAAGCTGTTAAATGACCCCGATTCTTCCGGATTTGACTTCAGTGGGGTGTTGTACTTCCGAAAAATGCGTCGAATTAGTGGATACTCGTCCAAAATGTGGAAATCTGTCCGCTTTTCCTCGTAATATTTGAGACATTCGAGTTCCACGGGATTTTTGGGGGCATAATCTACATCCTCAAATCCGAATCGTTTCGCTTTTTTGGAAATTTGATGAAAATCGATGCGAGGTTGGGAATATTTAAGATTTTTGTCCCCCATTTCAAGCGCGACCTTGTAAAATACGCTTTTGCACTGGTCCACGCGATGGGCCGGAATCCATCTCGTTTTGAAAAATGGGTGCGACATCGAGGCGATAATGAAGGGTTCGGATTTCGGGGAAAATTCGTACAAGGATGTGAATTTTGTTTGTAGCCCGGAAATTATCTGGTCAGCGATCATCCCATTGCTTGCTTGGTGACGAACCTGTCAGAGATCTGGGATTAATTAATCGTGATTAACGGATTAAGAATTGGGATTATGGATTGAATGCCAACAAAATTGGTATATGTACAATTAATCCTTAATCAAGAACTAATCAGGATTGATTAATCCTTAATCCCGAATTCAAGGGCATTGTGAGTTAATCCTTAATCCCGGCAAATTATAGATTAATCTAATCCCGGAATCAAATTAATCCTTACTCCCATAAAAGATTTATTAATCACGTATTTCTACGAACCTCGTTTAATTTGGCGTGAAGGCGAAGAATTTCGGGGAAAACGTCGCCAAAATAAGTTTCCGAAGAGTGGAAATTTGTGATGGTGGAGTGGACATGAGATAACATTGAGGTGTATTGGGTTAAGGATGAGATTTCTTCAGGGGTAAAATTTGGGAGGTTTAAAGCGTGGCAAATCTGGGGGAGGGAATCTTCTTTTATGGAAAGTAGGGCAGAGATAGCGTCGAATTGTGAGGTCCAATTGGAAATTTTGTGCGTTGGGAAGATTGAGTTATCCGGAGTTTGGAAGGGCTTGGAAGATGCCAGAGTACAGAGGGTACTGAATTTTGTAAATGCAGAGTGGAAAATTGGATCAGAAATCTGCAAGATAAATAATTAGTTGAGAGATTAGATTGCAGTTATATAAATTTAATTAGGGATAATTAGTTAATTAAACTTTAATGATGGTTAGAGTTTTTCGTTTCTTGCGGATTTGCTACATTTCTTCCATCGCAAAGCAAGAAATGCTCCGTGTTTGCCTTACAAAAATTTTGTGTTTCTAAAAATCTGGATAAGATTGGGGGATAAAAATGGGTAGAGGTTTTTTGTGAATTGAAAAAACATTTGTTAAAATTTTTATCAGGGTTTGAAGTCGATTTGTGAAATATTGAGAATAAAATATTGATAAATAACAAGTCAGGTGCAAAGTTTTTGAAAGAAAGACATTTCAAAAAATGTCAAAATCCTAGAAGTATGAAATTTTTATTTTATTTTTCCTGGTTTGTTCATTTCGATTTTTTTGTGCTTATCAAAATCACAATGAGATTGGGGAGTGGTTGAAAATAGGTAGTGGAAAATTCTTACATTGATTTTTAAAATGTTGAGCATAAAAAGTCTTGTTAAATAGCAACTCGGGAGGAATTTATTATAAAAATTTTCATTTTTCCTGTTCCATGTTTTTTTGTGTGGTTATCAAGCTCTGGATAAGATGTAGAAGAAGAAACTGGGTATAGTTTTAAGGGTATCGGTATAAGCGTCATAACAGGTATGAAATCATACCTGTTCACTTTCATTCATCTGACTGATTATGAAAGTGAATGAAAATTAAACTACTGTCATTTGAATAAAAATGACTGAAGGATTCCCTCATTTCAGATGAATGACTGTGAATGAAAGATTTTTCACTCCTTTCATGTTTCACCATATGCTTAATATATGGGCGAAGTAAGAAATGAAGTTAGATGAAGTGAAATGAATGCATTTTAAATGCGCAATTTAGACGTCGATCAATAAATTTGTCACTTGCTGATAATCCGACAACAATAAATTTAGATAAGTAATATGGTCCAAGTAAGTTTCCAATCAAATAATATTGTAACACACCTGTTCACTGTCATTCTTACATGTGGTCATGATGGTGAGTGAGAGTGAATGAAAATGAATTTCCTGTGATGTGAAAATGACTGCGGGATTCCGTCATTTCAGATTAATGACTTTGAATGAAAGGATTTCTCACTCATTTCAGTTTTCACCATATGCTTAGTACATGGGGCGAAGTAAGAAATGAAGTGAAATGAAGTGAAATGAAATGACTTTGAACCAAAATGATTGAATGTTAATGAAAATTTTCCATCTTAAATCGGAATGATCGAACTTTGAATGAAAACTAAATTTTTGAACAGGTATGGTTGAAAGAAGGAAATCTGTTATGGTGATCGGTTTGGGCTAAATTTTGGTTAATTATAAGACTATAAAGCCCACCAGCGATATTTCTGATTTTTTTATATGATATCATACAACTATCAAACTACCATTCCTGAAAATTTCAGGAATGGTATATGCCCACAAGTGGAGAAACAAATATTCTCCTGGGCTATGTTTAACACGTAGTTAGATAGGCCAAAAACAAAAGCGCAGATTAAAATATGAAGACCACGAACGATTTTGTAAATATTTGCATATGTTGATGGTCATACTATTGGTGATTTTTCGTCAAAGAATTGAAGTTGGTACATTTCTAGGTTTCGAGCAATTAATTCAAATGCATGAAAAAACATGGAATGAAATGGAAACCATGCAAAATTACCACAGGTATTAATAAAATGGTAACCATGTTGCGCGTTGCTACAATTTTGCATAACATTTCCAATGTTTATAAACCAAAGCCCGACAAGAAAAAAACATTGATTACATTCATGGGTTGGAAGTGACTCAAACGGGACCCTTGGAGTTAACGTAGACATGCTGAATAATTGTTTGATAGTATAATTTGCCAACTCGCCAAGTTTGCAGTTAATCGGGGTTCATTTGACAAAGTTGTAAATGAACAGACATACGAACAGACAGACTGGCAAAACGGTTCCCCAAGTCTTAAATCGGGGTAAGAATCATTGAGCGCTATTTACTAATCAAAAACCACTGACAACCAACCGAATTATGATTATATATATTAGCCCAAAAAATCGCCTTAATTTCTTATCAAAATAATTCAAAACCCATCGAAATTTAGCCCAAAACGATCACCATAACAGATACCCTTCAAGTTATTCAAGTTTATTCAAATTGCACAAATTCAAAAGGTATAGAAATTTCCATTTTTGCTGTTCCGCGCTTATCAAAATTTGGATAAGATTGGGGGGAGAAAATAGGATCTAATTTTTGCGACGGTTTCGACGCCGATGTGCGAAATTTTGAGAATAAAGTACAGAATGTGGAGCATTTATTTAGATCAATTCCTTCGAGTTTTTTTATGTAAGTTTTTCGAAACGTATAGAATCCTGAAAATTTTCATTTTTGCTGTCCAATGTTTATCCATAATTCTTGTGTGCTTATCAAAATCTAGATAAGAAGAAAAAGGTATAGAGTTTTCAATAGTGGGAGAATTTTTGTAGTTGAATTGTGAAATATTGAGAATAAAATATTGTTAAATAGTAAATCAGTTTATCATTCCGAACCAAGTTTTTACAAAAGTTTTTCGAAATATACTAATTCTAGAAGCATGCAAATTTCCATTTTTGTTGTTCCAAATCTCTCTAATATTATATTTGTTCTTATAAAATCTGGATAAGATTAGGGAGGAGAAAATTGGTTTTTAAATAGCGGGGAAATTTTTTGTACAATTTTTCTCAAAGCATTGATTTTGATGTCGATTTGTGAAATTTTGAGAATAAAATCTAATTAGCAGCTCAGGTTAGAAAGCTATTACATCTAAAGTACTACTAAAAATGTGAAATTTTAATCAAAGTTTTTCGAAATAAAAAATAACAGGAAGTATGAAAAATTTTCATTTTTCTGTTCTGTGTTTGACTAGGATTTTTTTTGTTGTGCTTATCAAAATTATTATCAAAACATCAAATTATCAAAATCTGGATAAGATTGCGGGAGGAAAATGGGGATAGTTGTTTCAACAGTGAGAAAATTTTTCTCAGAATTTTTGTTAAGGGTTTGACGTCGATTTGTGAAATTTTAAAAATAAAAGTATTTTCTAAAACAACTCAGGTATGGTTGCAAAGAGGGTTAAATTTTTTTACCAAAATTTTTACAAAATATGAAAATATTGGAAGTATGGAAATTTCCATTTATATTGTTCCATGTTTGTCTAGGATTATTTGTGCTTATCAAAATCTGGATAATATTGGGGGAGTCAAATTTGGCATAAATTTTACTTTGTTAAGCTCTGAAATATCGGGAATAAAGTATTGTTAAATAGTAATTCAGGTAGGGCATAGTGCAAGATAAAGTTTTTTAAGCAAGTTTTTAAACATGTAAAAAATTTTTACATGGTACCTGTTCAAAAATTTAGTTTTCATTCAAAACTCAGTCATCCCGTTACGATGGTCAGAATTTGGCAAAATATTTTAGGTCAAAGTTGAAAAACGGGCGATTTTTACCAGGCGGAGGAAGCAAACTCAAGTTCCATTCTCTTCCCGTGCTAAAAATCGTATATTTTTTTAACTTTTCTCTAAAATATTTCTGCAAATTCTGCCCATCGCACAAACTGTCTGAAGAAACGTTGGTTGTATTGACATGGACCACGTAATTTCGAAATTTCATCCAAATCGGAGGGTTACACTTCACACCATCGCATTGTTAGCAGGGCTTTCTAATTAATTAGTCTATCCAATTAATTACTTAATTAAATAGCATGTTTAAACTAATTATTAATTACTAATTAACCTTAACTAGTAGTTCCGAAGCTAATTTTAATTACTATTTAATCTGAGTTTAATTACTAATTACCAATTAATTAGAAATGTGGCTAATTAAAAAGCTCTGATTGTTAGTAACTAATTTACCTTGGTGGGTTCTTCCTCCGCGATACGAGTAAGAATACCGGACATAAAGTTGAAATGGGGTGGAAAATGTTTGGGAAGAATATCAGAGTCGCCGTGACCTTGATAATCGGAAGACAAATGGTCGTCACATTTGGGAAGGTTACTTCCGGTCATGACACAAACAATTTTGTCCTTATCGAGACCATACTCGTGAAATAGGATGGATGAGATAAGCCCAATAATTTCGTGATCTCCTGATTTAATAAATCTGCGCACTGCCAACACAGCGGAGTTACGTTTCGTCAAATCGGACGACGACAACCAGTGCGCCGTGAGCTTGACGAGAAGGGTCGACGTCGACGTTTCTGAACAATCCGCCGTGACGCAGAGGAAATCAAGTTGGGCGAATGTATCCTTTAATTCGGAGACCAAAGAGTGACGAAGGGTTTCGATTTTTGTCTTGATAAGGCTTTCCTTGGGTAGGATTGCGGTAGGATTGAGATTTTTAGAAGATAGAAGTTGGGGTTCGATTATTATGTAGGTTGGTCAAAATCAGCACACTTTTGTATCATTTCTTGTCTCTGGGAACTTATTTTAAAATTCTGAATGACAAAATTGCATCATTAATAGTTTTTTCAGCCAGTTTTGATGAGTTCCAATTTTTCTGAAGGCTTCTTCAACCGGAGATCTTCATAAAGGGTCAAAATCTGGGGTGCATATTTTCAAAAAATTGGTAACTCCCTGCTCTACAAATTTATTCTCCAGAATTTTAAAATAAATTCCCTGAGCGGAGAAATGATTAAAAATTAGTGATGAGTAATTTGTTAATTAATTGGGAATAATGAGTACGAAAATTAACTAAGAAATTTGCATACACTTGACGAGATCAAGGAAGGTCGCATCTTGAAGAATGGACATCGGGGAGGAGGTCGAGATTAAAAATTTGGTGATAGGAATAACGAGATCTTTGTGTGAAATGGTTTCCTCTTCAATTTTATGGGGTTTCGGATCCGTAAAACATTTCCGTATTGTTACAAGTAATTGACTTCTGGTCATTATTTTTTGCTGTTTTTTATCCATCCAGGCTTTGTACTGGTGGGGATGGACCGTCTGGGGGATAAAATTAGATAATTATTATAATTAGGGAATAAACATATTTGCAAATTTGCACATTATACTTTATGAAATGCAAATTAGCTATGCGATTATCTAAATTTGAATAATCAGCTTATCATTTTTTTGGTACGAAAATGATAAGCTTTAACGTCGAACCAGAATATAATGGATTTGGCAATAACAGATTGAGTATTACATTGCATCAAAAAATAAAAAAGTTGTAGAAATTTTGACAGATTTTAAATATATAGTATTTCTTACAGGTGAAATAGTTCCTAATTTTAATATATTTATGAAAACATAGAAATATTGAAGTTAAAAATTTGAATGAGTTGTATTGAACAAATAAAAGTATAAATTCTTGACGTTAAATACGTTAAAGTCTAACATAGATGGAAATGCGATTTATTTATTGTGTATTTATATGTATTTATATTTTTATTTATTTATTTTGATTTATTTATTAATTTAAAAAATTAGTGTGCAAAAATTTATTATGCAAATTTTTTGCTACCTTGTAATGGCTGAGGAGATTGGAGCTGACGGTGATGGAACATTTGATAACTTTGTTTGGACAGAGGTTACACTTGGCGACGATTTTGTCCTCTTGGAATTTATGGAAACTGTAAAGGCCACCATTTTTGTCGAGAAGTTTCCTCAAATTTGGGGGTAATTGTACCATCGGAAATTCCATTTTATTCAGGGTTTCAGTAAACTCTTTGAAATTTGCAGAAAGAGGAGATGAATTTTCGTAAATTTGAACTGGTGGGATGAAATTTAGAAATAATTCAATTTTTTCAGGATTTTATTTTAATTTTTAATTTTTCAATGTTCCGAAATTTCGCTTAATTTTTGAAATGCACAGAATTATTATGCGAAACCGTTTTAGCAAAAATGTTGAGCTGAATTTCGTAAAAATTTTCAGCGGTGTTATGCACTTTAAAATTTTAATAATTCCAGCCTCCCTGTATTTTGCATTTCATCGCTTATTTCTAAACGATTTTAACCAAAAAGGTGGCAAATTTTGTGAGGATTTTAAATTCTTAGTGGGGGGATGCACTTTAGAATTTCAATAATTTCAATTTCTCTTAATTTCGAAACTTTTCTAACCAAAAAAGAACGACAAATTTCGTAATTTTAGCCAAAAACAGAGATAAAAAATTGTAAATTTGTTGCGATAAGATGAAAAAATCGTGAATTTCCACCTTGCACGTATGTATGTACAGGAGAAGCACTCGCCTTTGTCTACCCTACTGAACTATGTACGAGGAATGAACAACAACGAGGAATAAATTCCGCTTCTCCTTCTTGGTTGAGAAATCTAATTAAAAATGCAATTAGCAATTAGCCAAGTGGTGGTGGTGGTGGGGTAATTAGTTTTACAAAGATAATTGGATTTTCCTACTTTCCAATTTAATTTTCTTAATTAGAATTAATTATACAATTAATTTCCTTCCGCCAACATAATTGAAACCAATTAGTTAAAAGGTATGGTAGGATATGCATACATATGTATACATATAGGATTGTATCGTTATTTCTAATTATAATTAAGCATTACACAATAACTCAGGCCAGGCTGAAACTACGAGCCAATTATTATATACCTAAACTCCATTTGTATTAATTAAGGTAGCTTTGTAATTAATTACTAACAGTATACGTTTATACATACATGCACACATATAAACATGCTTAATAGAAACCCTAACGTTGAACGTTTTAACGTCTCGATACGAAATCGCTTCGTATTTGCATATTTTCGAAATACAGATAATATAAAAATAAACTAAAACGTTTTATAGCGAAGCTTATTTACAAAACTCAATTTGCATTCTTATTGAAATTTTTTAAATTTGTTTAGCCATAATTTTCATAAATGATTGCAGAAAAGAATTCTAAATACGCATTGCAATAAATTTATGATAATTTATGGAAAACCCATCTTCGTTAAAATTTAATATTTCAAGAATCTAGAAATAAAACTTTAGACGTTGAACTCATAAACTCCAAAAATTATAATTTTGCATAAAAGTGATAAGTACCTGTTCACTTTCATTCATTTATGTAATTATAATGGGGACTGAAAGTGAATGAAATTGTTTTAGGTCTTCTTTTTTTGCAGCCAAATTGATTTTTAAATAGTAAAAAAATATACATATTTCGTTAGCGATTTTGAATTGTTGTTTTTTTGGTGGAAATTGGACAGGTAAATTTTGACAATAAAATTTTGAATGCAATAAAATTATCAATAAATTTGCTAAATTACTATGTAATTACAAAATGTAAACCAAGTATTTGTATATTTTAAAATACTGTTTATTTTTTGAAAATAAAGGAAGGAAAACATTTTTTAACGAAGCTTATTTACGAGATATTTTGTACGCTAATTTGAAATTTTTGGATTTATTTAGCTGCATTGCATAAATTTTCATCAGTCATAAAATTTTTGTAAATTGAGCAGGAGGGGACATATCATCTTTTGTATATAATGATGTATTTAAAAAATCTAAAAATCAAACTTTTGACGTTGAAATCTAAAATTTTTTAAACATAAAAACATAAATTCTCTGTAATTTTTCGTTCAACTAAAAAAATACAAAACTCACAAAAACACAAAAAAGTTTGACGATTTTAACGTCAAAACTTTTATTTTTAGATTTTCCAGGAATTAATATTAACGATAGATTACTACCACAGATGGATAAATTTTAAGAATATGTACAACTTTCGAAACAAATTCACAAATAAATGAATTTACAAAAATGAACCAAGAATTGGGATTATGGATTAATAATTCTTAGCTTAATGCCAACAAAAATTGCATAAAAATTGCGAATATTTTTATTTGGCTTCGACCTGTGACAAATTTATAATTACTTCACTTTACTAATTCCATAAAAATCTGCTTATTAACACAAATGTATAAAATTTTATAATAGTTTAGTCGAAAATTATGAACTTATTTATCTAAATACTAATCTGATAGTATCAAAATTACTACTTTATGATTTTTTCAAATTAGTTATCATCAACGGTCGACAAACGGAATTCGTTATCTGTACAACTGTACTAATCTCATTTGCATAAAAATTGCGAATATCGGCTTTGAACTGGAACACTTTTCAACTACTCTACTTAAGTACATGACTAATTCTAATTCTATTACAATCTGGCGTATAAAATTTTACTCAATTGGCGAATATGAAAGTTATGAAAATATTGTGCAAATATTAATGTGTCATCGCATACGGGTTTTGAGTCTGGGTAATTTTGTCTCAACTTTCCCTTTACATATTAAAATTGCGATTTTGAAACCTGTTCATCGCCATAATAAATAATAAACTGCGGCAACGCAGGGTACACAAGTAGCGCAATAATGCTGAGAATGCGATACAAAATATAGATTGCAGAATCTGAATTATTTCAAATAATAAAATAATTTAAACTTCCTCATTTATATGTAGCCACTCTGAAAAATCATGCATCTTACATGCTTTACTGTTTTATCAATCTTCATTAATCAATCTTAATTAACTAATTAATCAATCTTACTCTTTTACTTGTCATACATGTTAGATTCAATTGTTCTAAAAATCTCATTTTGCCCCGACCACACCCCGTGGCGCCCGGGGCTGTGGCACAACTCGGAAACACCTAATTTTACTCTACTTCATCTGTAGATTAAATTGCACTAAAAATCTCATTTTGCCCCGACCACACCCCCTGGTGCCCGGGGGTGTGGTCCGGTTGACCCCAAAAGTTTACAGGATCCTCCCCCTAGGGTCATATGTATGATACCGCAAACCGATTTCGATTATCTCGATCCGTTCTCCTGTTATCGTGTTGACAGACAGACGGACAGACAGACTAACTAACTCATCGCATAAAGTAGCTTGCGCTACTTAATAATAATATATAAAAAATAATAAGTAAAAATTAAATATTTTCTTATGGAAGAAAAAAAATCAAAATTTTAACCTCCTAATTTTGTAAACCTAAAAATTATCGATTTTTAGATGCACTAAAAATCTTAATACTTAAAAAACCACGAAGATGAACCGGGTTCAAAATCACCATTTGAATATATGGAAGGAGGGAAAGTTGAGACACAACAATTCAAAATCAAAATCCGCATACAATGCCACCTTAATATGAAAATATGCAAATTATTACTTGATCTTCTCCAACTACAAGCGGATTATCTGTTTAAACTTATTAATCTAATTATATGAAAATTTAAATATTGCCTTCGACGTTTGACATTTGACATTTTTAAATCACTTAACTTTACTAATTCCAGCAAAATGTGTGTATTAAGTATATTTCGAAATTGGCAAATATGACGATTATGAATTTATTATGTGATAATTAGTCTGAAAATATAAATTTTGAAAAATATTACAATATGAAAAATATTAGTTTATTCTACTAAACAAGGAAGGTCAAAATCTGCATTTCAATGATCTCATTACATAAAAATTGCGAATATATTACCTTTGAAGTTTGCACTTTAATTAACTAACTTTAATTAAGTTTATTAATACCATTAAAATCTGCGCACACAAGCTATAAAATTTCGAAGTAAAAAAATTATGAATTTAGCTAAATATTAATCTAAAAATCTAAAAATATGAAAATTAGTACTTTATACTCTCAAATTAAAACATACAAGACCCAAATCTGCAAAAAATTATTAATTCACCTATTTTACCAAATAGCAGAGAAAAGTGGATAAGCCTCCTAAAGGAGACCTAGAAGACTCAACTCCATAAGGAAGTGTAAGCACCTTGAGAGCCAATGGTAGACGATGGCGAGGTTTTCGGACTTTTTCACCATAACCTCTCAGTTTTTTCAACTTCTTAAACAATCACAAATACACATTTGCTTCGATTTTGGCGTACAACCTTTACAATTCACTCCATTTTTGCTAAAGTCGGACTCCGAAATTTAAAAAAGGCATAATTAATATTATTTAATTTAAAACATTTTCTGATTGGCTGGCGCTGGGTGGGAGGGGTCGAAAACCACGCCGTCCTCTATTATTGGTCCTCGCTGTTCAATGTGGCTTATGCATTGTTATTACTCTACATCTGCTATATGAATGTATGTTCAATGGGGACCCAGGATCTGTATAAATTTATTTCCATTTATTCATAACAATTACGAAAATTGGCTTCCAACTTTTACACTTTTTAACTACGCAACTTTACAAATTTCAACAAAATCTGCGTACCAAAACTTCGTCACACTTTAGTCTCGTAACATCCAGAAACTAATCCTTTCCATCTCATCGTCACAAAGTGTGACAACAAAAATAAACCCTGTCTCACATCAAGTTATGTAACTCTACTTTGCAAATATTACGCAGAATTGCTCTGCAAAACCAGCATCACTTCATTTCATTTCATTGACGACATTGACATTGACAAAAAGCTAGCAGTAGCTAGCAAAAAGCTGACATATCACATTCCATTGAATTTTTATCCCTTGTTTTTGTTGATGATGACGATGATCCAGACAATTTTTTTGAATGAGGGGCTCGTGCCGTGTAAAGTAAAATGTTATGCAATACGTAATATTCAGTCCAGACTGTAAATATCGTAATTTAACGAAAAATGCGAAGATTCCAGACTTCTCGGGAAGAAGTTGGGACCAAATTAACATAATTAATTGACCTTTTGCATTTATTTACTATTGACGGACACGATTCAAGGAAATATGTGAACAAAAAGATACGCATATTGAAGATGGCAAACCTCATACAGTAGAAAATTGTGGCTTTAAAAAGTGCATTATAAATTCATGAGATGTAAATTAATTTAATAAATTAATTAGTAAAAAATTACTGCTATTGAAGATGACGTGGGTTTAAGCACATAAATTCGGAAGATTAACTCGAGTAAAATTATCGATATAATTGATTAAGATTTCACACATAATATGCAAAATTGTAAATAAATTCCTGCCGACAAATGGAGATGAACTTTTACATGAGAAGAATTGTCGTTTTAATTAATTAGTTAAATTGATTAACTGAATATTAGTGAAGATTTAGATACGATTGACTATTGTGTAAGATGCATCTTCTTCTTGATATTTTCAGTGCCAACTTGTCATCAATTTCTTTCATGCGAATTTCTGCCTCGTGTTGATGGTGATGCAGAAGTGGGACGATTTGTGCCTTCAACCCGGCCACGATTTCCGCATTGGTTTCAATCAAGACTCGCATTTGCTGGTTGTCTTCTTCAGA